CCACGCAGCACGCACCGGAACGCGGCACGCACTACACGTACACACAGCACAGTACTGCACACACACACACCATGCACGCACACACATCACACACACCAAACATGCGACGCAGCGCACGCACGCGACGCGCACTCGACCGCACGCCTCACACCACAATCACCACCAAGCATTCCCCGAACACGCACACAGCACGCACGCGCACGCGCCCACGCACGCACGCACCGCACGCACACACAGCAGCACACACGTCCTTTGCAATGATGCTGCTGCCAGTAATGCTGCCTCTGCTAACCGCCGTCTCTCGCTCTCTCTCGCGCTGTCTCAGGTGTTTCGTCAACCAAACGCGGCCCCGCCCCCCGCGCCCCCCCCCCCCTCCCCGTCAGCACACCAGCAGGATATCTCGGACGCGTCTCGGCATACTAGTTGGGCAGCACGGAGCTGCGCCGCGCGGAAGACCTGCTCGAGCAGTGCAGACGCGACGCGGAAGCGAGCGCGACGACGCTCGCCGCGCGAACTCGGTGCCGCGCATCGTAGCACGTTGTTGTTGTTGCTCTCTCGTTTGTCGTCAGTAGTATGATTATTAGTATTTTATTATATCACAATATTGTCATTATTATTGTAACATGAGATATTATTATTATTATTCATCTATTTCTCATTATCAGGTGGTATTATTATATAAAATATATTCATGATAGTTATTGTATTAATATATATAATATGATTAGTATATATTGGTATTATTATAATTTTATGATTATTGCTCTAATGTATCCGGCTACGTGCCAATTACTGTATAACGCCAATTTTTCGAGTACGATACTTCGCGAGTGGTTAATTTCGCGGCGGTGAATACGAATTATTGGTTATATTCCGTATGAATGTATTCGCCTTTCGCGTCTGGGACGCGTTCGCGAAATCGCGCGAAAATTAAACCACCGAAATTCAGGTCAGCGTATACAGTACACCGCGGCGAATCAACCGAGGCTAGCGTGGTAAGGCCTACATGTGAATCCAGCGTGACAGCTAGTGGGAGTGATTGTAGAGTAATGTCGAGAATGTGTTTAAGCTGCGTAACGAAGCCGTTTTAGAAGTGGCTGTGAACCGGTGAAACCGTGCCGAGAGTTGGTGTAAAACCCGTGTGCCGCCCCATGGGGACGCCACTCGGTGTAATGCGGCGGAATGGGCGTTCACACAGTGCCATTATGCCGCTCCCGTTGAGAATCAGACAGCGCTACGACCACGAAAAGCCTGAAATAAGGCGATTAGTATCCTCGATGATCAGGGAATCTATTCACTGTCTGAACGCAGTCGTAGACGTTCGTAACAGATGTCCTACGCGCTCGGAATGCGTCCGGAGGCGGCGGCCAAGCACTCCCGACAGTTAGGGTGCATCCCGTAACACATTCGGACACTCAGTTCGGATTTTTGTCTAGTCAGGAACAATCGTGATATGTCGGGACAGATTCTGCTGTATCGGATCAAATCGGAACAATTTCCGGTGGGTCTGAGCGGTGTCTGGACGGGGTCTGTGGATCGGGAGCGTGTCGTGATGAACGGGCCAGATCTGGAGAAATTTTCACTTGCCGTTTCTTGCGATTGAATCCAGATGGTCCAGATCTAAACGGATGTCTTCCGTCAGCGTCGGTTCACTGTCGGGTCACTGTCTGATCTCAGTCGGATCGCATTCGGAGGGATCGTGGCGCTGTCGGACAGAGTTAATGTGGGTCGGTTTTACATAGCGTAAGATACAAATCGGGATCAGAATCGGTGAGAAAACTGGAGAATCGGGGACGAATTCGGCCCTAGAAACGCTGAATAGGTACGCTCTCCTGAAACAATATCATGATGTCTGTCGTGAGTAAGATTAATGTTTTTTACAATTTTAATAAAGTTGGGAAATTGCCGCACGAAACACAGGATCTTGATCAGACGTTAACAAAATTTTAATGGAATGTCCCTATCGAAGGACAGGCAGTAACAATCCCTGAATGTGTGACATGTGTCTTTAAGCTGGTGGAGTCGCTGGTAAAGCGAATTT